AGTCACCATCTGCAGTGATTTTGGAGCCCCGAAAAAAATGACATTTGTCACTGTTTCCACTGTTTCCCATCTATTTGCCATGAAGTGATGGGACCAGATGCCATGATCTTAGTTTTCTGAATGTTGAGTTTTAAGCCAACTTGTTCACTCTTCTCTTTCACTTTTGTCAAGAGGCTCCTTAGTGAATAATAACATTTAAAAATTTACTAGGTCTTTCACAAAGTCTCCAGGTAAGATGAAAAAAGGAATGCTTCCCAATAGAACCTTGATAACAAAACTTGTCAGCTTACATAATGTTAAGGAACTCTGTCCTGTCTCTTTGTGAAAATGAAGAAAATATTTTAATCTAAATATGATACGTGTAGTGATTTTTAAGAGAAGGAAATACAGAATGATCATTGTGGTTTCATTTCAGGAATTCTTGACTGGCTAATATTTGAAGGAAATAGGAATATTTGAAAGAAAACTTCATAAACATTATTTTTAATTAATTTGTTTATTTTAATTGGAGGTTAATTACTTTGCAATATTGTGGTAGTTTTTGCCATACAGAAACATTATTTTTAAAAATATTTCTCATTCTATGGAAGAAAAAATAAAAATGTAACACTACTGAGTGTTTACAAACTCTATGAGAAAAATAAGAATACCATGGAAGTGCTTTCATAGAAAAAAGTGTGATAAAAAGAATCCTTAAACCTCATACTTGAAGATAAATATTCTAATATATTCCCATAATATAGCAATGATTCATATAGGACCTTTACTGTAAATTCTATTCAACATTGAAAGTAAAAGCCTGCCATGTAAAAATAAGTCATAAAAAAAACCAACAACAACAACACGCAATTGCACCTGGAGAGAAGAAATAAAATGCAACTATTTATAGTTGCAATAGCTCTTTTTATTTTAAAAATCTAGAGGAATATATGTTTGAAACAATAGAATTAATATGTAATATCAGGGAAGTCATTGAACATAAGATACACCTGTAAACCTCTGAGTTTTATTTTATTTATTTCTGCTTCAGAGCAAAAGTTACTAAAAATTTAAAAAACAAAGATGACATTTACAAAAGCATGGCTATGAAATACCCATATTTTTCTAAGATTTCAATACTGAAAAATGTAAAACATGATAAGTGGATTTCCTTGGCAGTTCAATGGTTTGGACTGTGCTTCCCAGTGTGGGGGGTGCAGGTTGGATTCTTGGTTGGGAAACTAAGATTCCACATGTAACCTGGCATGACCAAAAATAAATAAATTTTAAAAAATGGAAAGAAAATAAGAGAAAACCTAAATTATTGGAAAGATAAAGCATAGTACTGATTGGAAGAGTCAATATTGCAAAGATGACTCTCTTTGCAATTTATTTTAAAGATTAAATGCAATTCCAAGCAGAAAACAGCTTTATTGAGGTATAACTTACACAGCCTAAAATCCATCCATTTAAAGTGTATAAACAGTGATTTTAGATACATTTTTAATTTGCAATGATCACCACTATCAAAATCTAGAAAGTATTCATCACTGTTCAGTTAGCAATAATTTCCTATCCCCACCTCCCCACTGCTGGGGATCACTACTTTGCTTCTGGTCTCTCTTTTCTTATTTTTCTTATTTTTGATATTTCATGTAAATGATGTACCATGCGATCCTTTAGAAAGTTTGATTGCTGTAAACATATAGTTGAGCAAAAAAAGCCAGACACCAAAGGAATGATATCTGTACTTTCTGTGTGCATATTAAATTTCAATAATTTTTGAAAAAACTCCCACTTTTAGAAGAAAGAATATAATGCATTTTGAAGTTTATGCAATCATACTATTATTTCCATTTCATAGAGATGAAGTTACCCAACAGCGGCCAAACTTACTTTTTAATTCTCAAGCTTGTGCTTGCAAGTATACATATTTGGGGATTCACAGTCATCTGACCTTATCTCCGAAGATAGCACTGCACAGTTTCTTTTCTCAGGTGATATGTCTGATATCCTGTAATGGAAAGCATTGCATAATTCTGTTATGACATACAAGGACAGCTCATGAAGTTATAGCATTTCTGTATAACTGTAATAGAAAGATATTTTGAAAGTAGGTAATGGTGTTTTAATATAATTGAAATAAGAGTTTGTTATTAGCAAAATGGGCTACTGAGTAGCCCATTTTTTAATATTTCTATCAACATTTTATTAACCTTCAACATCTTCCTTCATCATTGTGTAATTCAACCAAATGTTTTAATAATATTCTTAAAATATTTATTTTTAATATTGTCCTCTGGCTCAGATGGTAAAGTGTCTGCCTGCAATGCGGGAGACAAGGGTTCGATTCCTGGATTGGGAAGATCTCGTGGAGAAGGAAAAGGCAATCCACTCCAGTACTCTTGCCTGGAGAATCCCACAGATGGAGGAGCCTGGTAGGCTACAGTCCATGGGGTCACAAAGAGTCGAACACGCCTGAGCGACTTCACTTCCTCTATATAGTATTGTTTTTAAAAACTTACTGTAGTTTGCAAGTTGAGCCATTTTGCCACATCCACGGATGACCATGGCCTTCACGAAACACTCGAATCCATGACATAACTGATAGGGACTTCAGAAATTTCTACACAAAAGTATTTTTGTTCAATCATTATAAAAGGTTTTATTAGTTCTTAAAATGTAAATAGTGTGCACTTTCAGAGGATCCTGAGTTTTCTGCACAAGATGAGAGTGTTAGAATCTAACCTAACACTAAAAGTATAAAGGTGAAAGTTTTAATATTTGTCAAACATTAACAAATGTCTGTATTTATGATTAAAAATAAACTCAAACATTTATGTTTATCAGTTTCATTGCTTTTCTTATGTTAATAAGGAAAAGTCTGATTCATGCAGTTTAATTGCTACCCATGTTGTCAAATTGAACATAGCAAGGTTTTAAATGTTTTCCAATTCTGTAACATTTGTTTTTCCAGATACTGTGATTATATCACTGGATTTCGCTACTATGTTTCTCAGAGTTTCAGCTTTAGAAGGAAATTAAGGGATTGAAATTGAGAAAATAAATGACACAAAAAACAAAGCTTTGATTTTCTGGGACCCACACCATTCTTTGCCTAGATAAACCCCAAATCAATCTTTTTTCTGTATTGCTAGAATCCAGTGGACAAGACAGAGTCAGAGACTCATTTCTCTCTGCTCCTCCCTGCTAAGTACAACTGTAAACACAGGAACTGATGAAAGACACGAGAACGGAGAACTCTGAAAGGTGGAAAGAGAGGGTGATGCGGTTGGAGACTTAACAGCAGCTTGACTTTTGTAACCTCTCATCACTTCTCCAGGATGAGAGAACAAGGTGAGGCTAGGGAACAACAATTAGGGGCATCTTATATCTTCCCCAAAAGAAGAAAATGACCTAGACCTTCTAAATTACTCACCCAGCCAAGCTGTAGGAGGGGGCACAGATAAGGCATTCCATTCTTCCTGTGTGTTGAGGGGAATCCTATCGGCAATACCATGCGAGCCTCACAAAGTGTCCGTCAGGACACCTGCTAACAAGGAGCAGTTAGAGGAGGTTCTTCTTCTGCCGCCACAAAGAGAACTAGAGTCGGGCGGCCAAGATGGACGTGGGGCCAGCAAAGAGGATCCCGTTACTACAAGTTCTGAACCTAGGAAGCCTCTTTTCCTTGAGGGCATAAGACTCCATCTTCACTGACAGACATCGGATAGAGTGGACTTTAAATGTTTTATTTACATAATGAGCAATGGAAATTAACAAATCCTACATAAATGCAAGAATATGGATGAATTACAAAACTAGTACATGGAGGGTGCAGAGACTGAACAAGAATGCATATAGTTTGAGTCTATGTACATGAAAAGCAAAACATGCAAAGAGATTCTATAACATCAAAAGTCATGACAGTGGGTAAATAAGGAGGACACAGGATGATGAGAAATTACCGAGAATAGGCTGCTGGAAAGTGAAAGCTTCTAATCCATGATCTGATGTGTAATTACACGGTTCTACTTATTTTGTGATCTATATGAAAATTTGTGATATGTATACTCTCCTTGATATATGGTAAAATTAAATAGCACAGTTTAACTTAGAATATAATAGCACTTGGAGAAGCATGGTTTTCAGTGAAGAGCAAATGGAAATAATTAAGCGTGCATTAGTAGGATAAAAATATAAATAAAATATCACAAATTTGTATTACATTGTTTATGAAATAATAGGCCTTAAACAAACTGCAAATACAAACAAAAACACAAGTGAATTCTAACAAGTATAATATTGACTGAATCAAGCCTTTAACAAAGTGTTGGAAACATTTGATATCTTACCAGTTCCTCTTCATTATCTAAATAAAGCAGAGTAGAGTTCCTAGAAGCACAGGCTGTCAAGCTCCCATTCCATGTTTTTTCTTCAAAAGTAGTATAATAGCAGTTGTTGGAATATGTAAACCAGTCTTTTGGACAACGACCACAATGGCATTCTGAAGAAAGATTGTGGATTACTAGACAAAAATAATTGAATTTTATACAATAAAAGAAACTATATATATGCATAGATATATCTATGTATATACATGTTTATACAACATATCTATGCACCCTCAAGGCTGGTACATATTAAACAAACCAACACATTCACAGAAAGGGTCAGTCTCTCATAAGCCAATTTATTTCTCCATATAAAGCAAACACACAGAAATACTCACTTTTTACACATCCTGAGGACCAAGAAATGAAACCTCTGTTTTAGAATACCAAACTTATTTGTTTTTTTATCCTATTATAGCAGAAGGAAATTAGAACCAATTTTCAACAATGCTATGGTGATCATATTGTGGCACAGACAGAAGCATTCTCCTATAATCATTACTTATAAATATATGTTGCTGCATTTTACAATTTATGTTCTACCTTATAATCTATTCTTATTTTCATTAGCCTAAGATAGAGACAAAATATCAACTGTATATATGCCAGAGCTTTAAAATCATTATGTACCTTTCTGGAGCCTTGTTGTCCGAGAGGAGTTATTCTGTTCCTCTATTAGAGTAGCTACAAAATTAATTATTATAAAAGTTAATATTGCTCTAAATAAATCATAATGATTTTAGTTTCTGAGTCTAAAATTTGGTTAATTGTTTAAGATTAAAATAATCTAAACTAAAACTGACTTTACCAAGAAAAAGCAATTAAGCAATGAAGATTTGATGGGGAAAAAAAATTCAAAAACCAAAAGGAACAGATGCCACCACCTCTTACAGTATTTGGTTTAAGCAATCTTAAGAATTAATTTGTGTTTCTCAATAAGGTCTTTCAACTTCCTAAAGCCTGTGTTTGAGTTATGAAATCAGAAAAACATATATATATATATATATATATATATATATATACATATATATATATAGTATTCCCTAGAATCATTGTGTTATTTATACTTTGGACAACTTGAGAATAGCTATTCTACATTTAGGCTGAAGGCACATATTAAAATAAGAGTTTTATTTCATCATATGATTTTTGAGAGGCACACTGATGACCATTAAAGTGAAAAGTTCAATCACAATTTCAAAAATACACTTACATGGAATAGAAGTTATCATTCTAACTACAGTATACATCAAGACAAAACATATGATTCCCAGGATCACAGCAACAAACTTCTCTCTAGGTGATGGTAAATCTGCAGGGAGAGGAAAGGAAACACTGAGAAAGGAGAGATGGAGACAGTTGTTTTAGAAGAACAAAAGATCCCACATCCCTGAGAATTCATGGACATCAACTTGGACCCTGAATCCATATGAAACATTGTAATCCTCCTCTCAGAATATATACATTTTCAGCAAAGATAACACCTCACAAGTGGTAGATCAAAGACTACTAATTAAAACAGTGCTGGAATAGATAGGCTCCTCTGTCCATGGGATTTGCCAGGGATCCAACCCACGTCTCCTGCATTGGCAGGTGGATTCCTTATCAGGAAGCCACCAATATTAGAGTACTGTATTTCAAACTCAAACTCTGATCCTCATAAATAAAAAGTGTGTGAGCTATTAAATTCTCACACTTGCACTGGTAGTTCCTGTCATTCCATTGAGGATAGTGAGAAGCATTTTGAAATTTTATTTCCATGTAGGTTTTCTCCTGTTCAGTGACTAAAATGGAACTTTGTCTGTTCTTACCTCTCATTTGCTGTTTCCTGGCTTCCTTAGCCAGATTTGGTTCTGGGTAGCTTTTCATTGGAGAAGGCAATGGCACCCCACTCCAGTGTTCTTGCCTGGAGAATCCCTGGGACGGGGGCCTGGTGGGCTGCCGTCTATGGGGTCGCACAGAGTCCGACACGACTGACACAACTTAGTAGCAGCAGCAGTAGTTTTTCTTTTGATTGTTCATCTCTGCAGCTGTGTAATGTCAAGGATGGCGCTCTATGAAAACTGTACCTAGGTAGTTAATAAATGGTGTATAAAATCACAAGAAGCCTGGAGTGGGTGGTGTGTGAGATGAGTGACAGCACTCATTTTGCAGTTAAGCAAGGTACATGTTTGGTTCTCATTTTCACAGAGTGTTAGTATTTCATGATAGACTAAGTTTTAAAAATAATATTCTAAGTTTGAAATAATGCTATTCATCATTGGAACAATTAAATTAGTAAATTGGTGAAAAACAAAGCTCATACAGAATAATATCCTTATCAATTTACAGTTAATTTGCAAAGAAATATTTTAAAACTGTTACAGTAACCGTGCTTAAATTAAAATGCCATACTGGAAAAAACAGATGCACCAATATACAAATTTTTATTATAACTTTAAAACCTATTAATGGTTAAGGATTGAGCCTTCTAAAGAAGAAAGAATAATAGTATTGGCATATGTAATATTTCCTGCACTAAACTACTTTAATCAGCGGTATCATTTATTAAAAGAAAATGAAGTGCTATCAAAAATTTTTTTCATTTTTTTGATTGACTGCAAGTTTGAAATCATTAGAAATTTAGAGAATTTAGAAATTTAGAGAAATATTTTGCAAGTCAAGAATGTTACATGACATATTAAACTATCCAAAGCTTAGTAAACAATAAAAAGAAAATAATATTAAAAAGATAATAAATAATAATAATAAATAATAAATATTATTATAATAAATAATGAATAATATAATAAATATACACAATATAACAAATAATAAAATATGTATTATATAGATCATATAAAATATTAAATTTTGCGTTTTATTATTTTAATATAATTGCCATAATGCCATTCATATCAGTCAGAAAAATGTAACATAATTTCTTAGACAGAATCTCTGTATCTGTGTCATTTATCTTTTTTATTCAACGTTTTGCTCAAGGTTTTAAAAGGCATTTGGTTGTTTATAATTGGATTTAAATTAGGATTTTACTAAAATGCCTCAGTCTTATTTTTATTAAAACTCAACTGCTTTTACTCTATCTAGATCTATGAAGAATTACACTGGCCCTTTACAATTTCATGAATCCCCTTTAAGAATCTATTCTTAAAAGCTGAGTGAAATGCTTAATGATATATAAATATATCTCTATTGATGACAAAATACAGCAGTAACTGTTCCTTGTCATGTTGCTTATGAGATTTCACTTTAAATTGCATTGATTTAGAAACTCATTTACACATGTGTATATGCACTTGAATAATAAACAGGCAAGAATTTGAATATTTTACAAAATCCTCCATAATATTTCATATTTATGCTTACATAATTCTCAGAATTATTCAAATAAAGCTACCAATATATCCTTGATTTGGCTACATATCAATTGTCCCTAAATTGAACCATATCTAGATGTGGGTAATCTCCTACCAAATGAGATGAGGAATTAGGAAGGAGAGAGACACATACCTTCTGTAGGTCAGAGTCCTGCCTCCTTTTGTGGGTGACAAAGTTACTGTAGTAAACAGTATTTGCGGTCTTCACAGACTGCCCTGTGAAGGCCCACAGTGAAGCAATAGTGGAAAAGGTAGATTTCTCATCAACATGTCATAAAGTTTAAACAGGAAATTCTTACACTTGAGTATTTTGAAGACAGTTTATCTCATGACGCAACTCCAGAATATAGGAGACTTTGGGTATGTAGTGTGTTTCATAGTTAGTCCTTTGGCAAGTGCCTCTGAGAATTTTTTTATTTTCTAAAAGATACTGGGGAGAAGATGACTACAATACTATTAAATTGTTTTTATCTCAATCACACATACTACAAACTTAGGTTTTGCTAAGGGTGCCTTCAATGTTTTAAGTTCTACTTTTATATAAAGTTGCTAAATCTTGGCATTAAAGTTTTCATTTCGTTATACTCTGATGTTTTCATTCCTGTTGTGGAATATTCATAATTCTATTAACAGTATTTGTCACTAGGGCTTCCCAGTTATAGTTAGTGGTAAAGAACCCTCCTGCCAATGCAGGAGAAAAAAGAGATGTGGTTTCAATCTCTGGGAAGATCCCCTGGAGCAGGTCACAGCAATCCACTTCACTATTTGTGCCTGAGAATCCCTATGGAGAGAGGAACCTGGTGGCCACAGTCCATAGTGTCACAAAGAGTCAGACATGACTAAACCGACTTAGAACATACCGTTCAGTTCAGTCGCTCTGTCATGTCGGACTCTTTGCGACCCCATGAATAGCAGCAAGCCAGGCCTCCCTGTCCATTACAAACTACCGGGGTTTACTCAAACACATGTCCATCGAGTCGGTGATGCCATCCAGCCATCTCATCCTCTGTCATCCCCTTCTCCTCCTGCCCCCAATCCCTCCCAGCATCATGGTCTTTTCCAGTGAGTCAACTCTTCACATGAGGTGGCCAAAGTACTGGAGTTTCAGCTTCAGCATCAGTCCTTCCAGTGAACACCCAGGACTGATCTTTAGGATGGACTGGTTGGATATCCTTGCAGTCCAAGGGATTCTCAAGAGTATTCTCCAGCACATACAACATATCACTAATTCAGAAGATTTACTACATGGCATTACATATTTCTTTTCCTTATATTAGCATTATGTCTTTTCGGTTATAATGAAAACAATCATAATCCGTTAACAGTAGTTATTTAAGGATTGTTGTTTTTCAGTCGCTAAGTTCGATAATTCACCGCCCACCACCCCCACCATGAATCGTAGCATTCCAGACTTCCCTGTTCTTCACTATTAACCTTTGCTCAAACTCATGCCCATTGAGTCAATGATGCCATCCAACCATCTCTTGCTCTGTTTGTTTCCAGAGTTTGTTGTGATCCACACAGTCAAAGGCTTTGGCATAGTCAATAAAGCAGAAGTAGACAGTTTTATAGAACTCCCTTGCTTTTTGATGATCCAGCAGATGTTGGCAATTTGGTCTCTGGTTCCTCTGCCTTTTCTAAATCCAGCTTGAACATCTGGAAGTTCATGGTTCACATACTGTTGAAGCCTGGCTTGGAGAATTTGACGATTACTTTGCTAGCATGTGAGATGAGTGCAACTGTGCAGTTGTTTGAACAGTCCTTGGCATTGCCTTCTTTGGAATTAGAATGAAACCTGAACTTTTCCAGTCCTGTGGCCACTGCTGAGTTTTCTAAATTGTTGGCCTTTTGAGTGCAGCACTTTAAAATCATCATCTTTTAGGATTTGAAATAGCTCAACTGGAATTCCATCACCTCCACTAACTTTGTTCATAATGATGATTCCTAAGGCCCACTTGACTTGACGTTCCAGGATGTCTGGCTCTAGGTGACTGATCAACCATCGTGGTTATCTGGGTCATGAAGATCTTTTTTGTGTAGTTGTTTTGTGTATTCTGCCACCTCTTCTTAATATCTTCTGGTTCTGTTAAGTCCATACCATTTCTGTCATTTATTGTGCCCATCTTTGCATGAAATGTTCCCTTGGTATCTCTAATTTTCTTGAAGAGAACTCTAGTGTTTCCCATTCTGTTGTTTTCCTCTATTTCTTTACATTGATTGTTGAGAAAGGCTTTCTTATCCCTCCTTACTATTCTTTGAAACTCTGTTTTCAAATGGGTATGTCTTTTTCTCTTTTGCCTTTAGCTTCTCTTCTTTTCTCAGCTATTTGTAAAGCCTCCTCAGACAACGATTTTGCATTTTATTCTTGGGGATGTTCTTGATCACTGCCTCCGGTACCATGTCATGAACCTCTGTCCATAGTTCTTCAAGCACTGTGGCTATCAGATTTAATGCCTTCGATCTATTTTCCACTTCCTCTGTATGATGGTTTTTGCTGACTGTATAGAGCTTCTCCATCTTTGGCTGCAAAGATTATAATCAATCTGATTTCGGTGTTGAGCATCTGGTGATGTCCCTGTGTAGAGTCATCTCTTGTGTTGTTGGAAGAGGGTGTTTGTTATGACCAGTGAGTTCTTTTGACAAAACTCTGTTAGCTTTTGCCATGTTTCATTTTGTACTTCAAGGCCAAACTTGCCTGTTAATCCAGGTATCTCTTGACCTCCTCCTTTTGAATTCCAGGTCCCTATAATGAAAAGGACATCTTTTTGGGGTGTTAGTTCTAGAAGGTCTTGTAGGTCTTCATAGAACCATTCAACTTCAGCTTCTTCAGCATTACTGGTTGGGATATAGACTTGGATTACTGTGATATTGAATGGTTTGCCCTGGAAATGAACAGAGATCATTCTGTTGTTTTTGAGTTTTCACCCTAGCACTGCATTTTGGACTCTTTTGTTGACTATGAAGGCTACTCCATACCATTTGTCACTAATTCAGAAGAATTACTACCTTGTCTACATTAAAATAACTGTTACAAAGAGATGAATGCCTAAAGTTACTTTTTTTATTTTTCTGCCTTAGTTCTTAAAATAGCTGCATCTAATTATATTATTCCTAAATAAGGTATTTAGGTTTCCTCTGATAAAATAAATGTCTTTGGGAAGGGTAAAACATCAAACAATATCAAGCTATATCACCATGGCAGAGATTGAAATATTGAATACTCACTATATCATTCATTGATGACCCTCAAATCATAACTTGTTATCTATATTTTTAATAAGAATGTTTGCTGTAAATAACAAAAGCCCAAATTTCCATAGGGGGAAAAATAAGCTTTTAAATTTTCACTTCACATAAAATGGGGAAGACAGAAAATGTTGACCTTTTAGCGAAACATACATGAACATCCAAAAACATAAGACATTAAATAAACTATCAAATTTGCCTCAAATGCATTTTTTTCATCAATTGTCACTTGTATCAAGAAAAGGATAAATGTTTTTCTACCATTCCTAAGGATATTCACTTTCAGCATCACTTCTAGAACATTGAATTCAGGGAAACACTATTTTTAGCTTTCTGAAATCTAGAAAAATGTAATGTAAACTCAGTTATGTCCTTGTAATGAAGACTAATACTTGAGTCTTATAAAACAGTGACTAATGGCTAACTGTATGGTTGTATCTATCCATTATATTTTATTCTCATAAACTGATAACTTTCTCTATTACTCACATCCTAGAATTATAACAATTGAAACATTCATTAGAGATGTCACACAATGTAAAATATACTAATGTTTACTTTTAAAAATTTGAAGTAGTTGTATCTACTGTTGTCATACACTTTGCTGTTTTCAATTAAATAATGCTATACTTGTCAGGTTCTTTGTTATATGTCAAAATATGAGTTTAATTTGAAGAAACTGCCCTCCATGCAGGAGACATGGGTTCCATCCTTGGGTTGGGAAGATCCCCTAGAGAAGGGAATGACTACCCACTCCAGTAATCTTGCCCAGAGAATTCTGTGGACAGAGGAGTTTGACAGGCTACAGTTAATGGGGTTGCAAGGAGTTGGATACAACTGAGTGAGTACATTTTCATTTTCACTTTCTCTGGCATTTAAATTTAATAAAATCTATGTTCAGACAACACACGGCAAAGATAAATTTACTCAAAACACTGAAAGTAGTTTGAATTTGCTTTTTATGATATGAATATATCGATTTGTAACTATGTCTATTAATGGCCATACTTAAAAGAGTAACCTAAAAGAGAGATAAATTGGAAGTCAATAACAAGTGAAAATGTCCTTTGAACATAATGACAAGATCAATTCATTTTCAAAGAAGTTTTTTAAATGGAGGGAAATTACCAACTGACTCTAAATAAAGGAAATATTTAGGGTCTTCTAAAGAAGAAACTCTTAATTTAGGTAAAATTTTACAAGAAAAGAAGATTTGAAGAAAAGAACTTCTGTGATTATATCCAAATAGATATTGAGAAGTAAAATATTAATGATAAACTTTCAAATTGCAAATATACATTTGTATTAGAATTCAAGGGTGCCAATACAGCATGAGCAGTAAATAAAAGTAGAGAATAAATATATACTTTCATTGTTTGAGAAGTGAGTAAAAGTACTAACTTGGACTTTATTGAGTAAAGAATGCAAGCTGCAAAATGTAAGGCACTAATTTAACTAAGGCATATTAAATGAATAAATTCTTATAGATGAGTGTAAAAATATTTATTTTGAAAAATAAGATAAAGATAAAGTAGAATTCAAAGAAACAATATATTATACTTAAAATTAATTATATATACTTACATACAAAGAATATATATAAAGTTTACAATAATTTTAAAATTAGGTTAAATATATATGAAATAGCCTTCCTCTTCTAAGAATGTTCATAATTTAAAATATTTTGTTTAATACAGCTATATATATAGAAGAGATATTTTAATAACTGTTATCCTAGTTAGAATTTTTTAATGAAAAAATAAAGAGGAATTTTAAAAAGAAGAAAAATGATGTGATGCAACACAAGATGATGAAACTAATAAAGTTAATGTACTGTCACAATACAAGGGAAGAACCTTGTTAGAAAAGATGAAGCATGTTTCATAACAATATACTGAGGATCCAAACCATTAGCGATTACAAAAAAAAACCACATGTACTTAATAGTACAAGTTCAACAAGGATTTGAGAAAAGTATGTAGGTTAAATAATCATAAATAGAGATTTAAACAATTACCTCTCACTGCTCATCTGGCAAGCAGATATACCAGTCAGGCTACAGACAGATCTAAACTAGACAATTAACCAACACATTTGTGCACACACACACTTATATAGTCATATAGAATACTCACATTTTTGATTACACTAAAATTTTCCAAAAATTCACTATATATTCATAATCCTGATTATATTGATATGAAATATGTATAACTGTAGTGTCACTATAACAGCTTTAAGTCAAGTTTGGCAGATGGACACTTGAAATGTGAGTATTCAAATTTAATTTTTAATTAATTATAAAAAAAATAAAAATTTAATATTTCCTCCTCATTCACACCAGCCACATATAATAAAGATATAGATTGCTTCCAGATTCATAGAAATTCTTACAACTTAAGCTAGAAGGTAATAACCAAAAATGTGAAAACCTTTATCTAGTTTTAAGTTCAGTTACACATTTACAAATAACATATGAACCAAAGAAAGACCCACAAAATCCTCAATTTTTATATGATTTAAAAGGAAAATACAATCGTAAAATCTGCCTTGTGAAATATTGATTGCCTTAAATGCACACATCACAAACAAAAAAGTAAGAAAGAATAAATTTGAGGAGGTGCCACTAGAAACTAAAAGTTAAAAAGCAATCTGGGTGAAATTAAATTCAAGTATAGTCCAAATAAAGAAATAAAAGGAAAATAAATGATGCAAAATCACAACAAAGAAAGCAAGTACATTAGAAAGGAATAAAATGGTCAATGTCATTTTCACTTGAAAGGCAGTATAATTGATAAAAGACATTTAAAGAAAAAATGAGAAGACATAAATCTTTTACATCTATAATAAATATGACAACACCATTATTGTTTTTACAGATGTTAAATAGGATAAGAAAACCATACTATGAATATATCCTACAATCTATATAAAATAGAGAATGCCTAAAAAATGCAATTTACCAAATGCAGTACAACTCGGATCCTGAATAAACTTAACATGTGTTAAAGATATGGCGTTCACTGTATAAACTTCCTACAAAAACTGTTCTAGAAACTCTAATGGTAACAGTAGTGAGTAATAACACTTAAAATTATACCAGGTCTTTCACAAAGTCTCCAGGTGAGATAAAAAAAAAGGAGTGTTTCCCAAAAGATCCTTGAGAACAAAACCTGCAGCTTACATAATATTAAGGAACTCAGTCCTGTCTCTTTGTGAAAATAGATGAAGAAAATATTTTAATCTAAGTATGATATACGTACTGATTTTAAGAGAAAGAAAATACAGAATGATCATTGTGGTTTCACTTCAGGAATGCTTGACTGGTTAATATTTGAAGTAAATAGGAATATTTGGAGGAAAAAACTTTATAAACTTTATTTTTAAATGAATTAATTTATTTTAATTGGAGGCTAATTAAAATATTGTGGTAGTTTTTGCCATACATAAGCATTATTTAAAAAAGCAGTTCTCATTCTATTGAAGGAAAAAGAAAAATGAAGCACTACTGATTGGTTACGAAATTTATAAGAAAAAATTAAATAATATGGAATTGCTTTCATAGTAAAAAAAAGTATGATAAAAAAATCCTTAAACCTCATACTTGAAGATAAAGTGTTGGAATATATTCCCACAATATAGGAATGATACATATAGGACCTTTACAGTACCTTCTATTCGACATTGAAGATAAAAGCCTGCAGTGTAAAAATAAGTCAAGAAAAAAACAAAGCAATTGCACCTGGAGAGAAGAAATAAAATGTGATTATTTATAGTTGCAATATCTGTTTTTATTTTAAAAATCCAGAGGAATATAAATTTGAAACAATAGAATTAATACATAAAATCAGAGAGGTCATTGGACTTAAGATCAGCCTGTAAACCACTTTTTTTTGTTCATTTATTTCTGCTGCAGCAGCAGAAATTACTAAAAATTTAAAAAGCAAAGATGACATTTACAAAAGCATGGCTACCATATTTCTCTAAGATTTCAATATTTAAAAATTTAAAACATGCAAAGTGGATTTCCTTGACAGTTCAGTGGATGGGACTCTGCACTCCCCAGTGTGGGTAGTGCAGGTCGGATTCCTGGCTGGGAAACTAAGATCCCATATGCCACCTGGAGTGGCAAAAAAAAATTAAATAAATAAAATACAAAGAAATTAAGAAAAAACCTAAATTATTGGAAGGATAAAGAATGGTACTGATTGGAAGAGTCAATATTGCAAAGATGACTCTCTTTACAATTTACTTTAAAGATTAAATGCAGTCCCAAGCAGTTTTTTAAAACAGCTTTATTGAGGTGTGATTTACATAGCATAAAATTCATCCATTTAAAGTGTATAAGCAGTTATTTTATATATATTTGCAATTTGCAACTATCACCACTATCAAAATCTAGATATTCATCACAGTTCAGTTAGCAGTCATTTTCTATCCCCACCTCCCCACAGCTCTTGGTCATCACTAATCTGCTTCTGGTCTCTCTTTTCTTATTTTTGATATTTCACGTAAACAGTCCTATACACCATGCAATCCTTTAGAAACTTTGATTGCCATAAATACATTACTGAGCAAAAAAAGTCAGACACCGATGGAATGATATCTGTACTTTCTGCTGTGCATGTTAAATTTCAACAGTTTTTTTTTTTTTTTAAAACTGCCATTATTAAAAAAAAGAATATAATGCATTTTGAAGTTTATGCAATCATACTATTTTTCCATTTCTTAAGAGATGGCATTTCCCAACAGCAGCCAAACTTACTTTTTAATTCTCAAGCTTGTGCTTGCAAGTATACATATTTGGGGATTCACAGCCATCTGACTTTATGCCCTCTGAGGATAGCACTGCACAGTTTCTTTTCTCAGGTGATATGTCTAATATCCTGTAATGGAAAGCATTGCATAATTCTGTTATGGTATATGAAGGCAGCTCATGAAGTTATAACATTTCTGTATAAAAGTAATAAAAAGATATTTTGAAAGTGGATAATGGTGTTTTTAACATAATTTCAGGAAGAGTTTGTTATTAGGAAAATGGAATATTGAGTATCCCATTTTTTAATATTTCTATCAACATTTTATTAACTTTCAACAGCATCCTTCATCATTGTGTAATTCAACCAAAACAAATGTTTTAATAATATTCTTAAAATATATTTTTTTAATATGTTCTTCTCTATATAGTATTGATTTTAAAAACTTACTGTAGTTTGCAAGTTGAGCCATTTTGCCACATCCACGGATGACCATGGCCTTCACGAAAGACTGGAATCCATGACATAACTGAGAGGGACTTCAGAAATTTCTACACAAAAGTATTTTCATTTAATCGCTATGAAAGAATTTATTAATTCTTAAAATGCAAGCAGTGTGCTCTTTCATAGGATCCTGAGTTTTCTGCACAAGATGAGAGTGTTAGAATCTAATCTAACTCTAAAAATACAAAGGTGAACATTTTAATATTTGTCGAACATTAACCAATGTCTGTACTTCTGATTAAAAATAAACTCAAACATTTATGTTTATCAGTTTCATTGCTTTTCTTATGTTAATAAGGAAAAGTCTGATTCATGCAGTTTAATTGCTACCCATGTTGTCAAATTGAACATAGCAAGGTTTTAAATGTTTTCCAATTCTGTAACATTTGTTTTTCCAGATACTGTGATTATATCACTGGATTTCGCTACTATGTTTCTCAGAGTTTCAGCTTTAGAAGGAAATTAAGGGATTGAAATTGAGAAAATAAATGACACAAAAAACAAAGCTTTGATTTTCTGGGACCCACACCATTCTTTGCCTAGATAAACTCCAAATCAATCTTTTTTCTATATTGCTAGAATCCAGTGGACAAGACAAAGAGTCAGAGACTCATTTCTCTCTGCTCCTCCAAGCTAAGTACAACTGTAAACACAGGAACTGATGAAAGACAAGAGAACAGAGAACTCTGAAAGGTGGAAAGAGAAGGGTGATGCGGTTGGAGACTTAACAGCAGCTTGACTTTTGTAATCTCTCATCACTTCTCCAGGATGAGAGAACAAGGTGAGGCTAGGGAACAACAATTAGGGGCATCTTATATCTTCCCCAAAAGAAGAAAATGACCTAGACCTTCTAAATGACTCACCGAGCCAAGCTGTAGGAGGGGGCACAGATAAGGCATTCCATTCTTCCTGTGTGTTGAGGGGAATCCTGTCGGCAATACCATGCGAGCCTCACAAAGTGTCCACCAGGACACCTGCTAACAAGCAGCAGTTAGAGGAGGTTCTTCTCCTGCCGCCACAAAGAGAACTAGAGCTGGGCGGCCAAGATGGAGGTGGGGCCAGCAAAGAGGATCTCATGTCTAAAAGTGCTGAACCCGAAAGCCTCTTTTCCCTGAAGGCATAAGACTCCATCTCCACTCAAAGACGTTGGATAGAATGGATTTTAAATGCTATATTTACAAAATGAGCAATAGTCAGTAACAAACACCATGTAAATGAAAGAATATGGATGAATTGCAAAACTAGTACATGGGAGTGTGTGGAGATTGAAAGAAGAATGCATACTGGTAGAGTCTATGGACATGAAGAGCCAAAACATGCAAAGAGGTTCTATAACATCAAACACCACAAAAGTGGTAAAAAGGAGGAAACACAGGTGATGAGAAGTTACAGAGGATGGGGCGCTGGAAAGTTGAAACTTCTAATCCACAATCTGATGTGTAATTGCATGGTTCTATTTATTTTGTGATCTATATGAAAATGTATGATGTGTATACTTTCCTTGATATATATTAAAATCAAATAACACAGTTTATCTTAGAATAAAATAGCAATTGGAGAAGTGTGATTTTCAGTGAAAAGCAAGAATGGAAATAATCAAGAATGCATTCATAGGATAAAATATTAATAAAATATCATTAAGTTGTACTCCACTATTTAATAAAATAACAGACCTGTGTTAAACAAACTACAAATACATACAAAAACACAAGTGAATTCTAACAAATATAATATTGACTGAATCAAGCCTTTAACAAAGTGTTGGAAACATTTGATATCTTACCATTTCCTCTTCATTATCTATATAAAGTAGAGTAGAGTTCCTAGAAGCACAGGCTGTCAAACTCCCATTCCATGTTTTTTCTTCAAAAGTAATATAATAGCAGTTGTTGGAATATGTAAACCAGTCTTTTGGACAATGACCACAATGGCATTCTGAAGAAAGATTGTGAATTACTAGCCAAAAAATATTGAATTTTAGAAAATAAAAGTCAATTTACATATATGCATGCTGCTGCTGCTGCTAAGTCGCTTCAGTCATGTCCGACTCTGTGCGACCCCATAGATGGCAGCCCACCAGTCTCCCCTGGCCCTGGGATTCTCCAGGCAAGAATACTGGAGTGGGTTGCCATTTTCTTCTCCAATGCATGAAAGTGAAAAGTGAAAGTGAAGTCGCTCAGTCATGTCTGACTCCTAGTGACCCCATGGACTGCAGCCTACCAAGCTCCTCCATCCATGGGATTTTCTAGGCAAGAGTGCTGGAGTGGGTTGCTATTGCCTTCTCTGACATATATACATAGATATAGACATATATATGTATATACATGTTTATACAAAGTATCTATGCATCCTCAAGGCTGGTACATATTAAACCACTGCATACATTCACAGAAAGGGTTAGTCTCTCATAACCCAATTTATGTCTCCATATAAAGCAAACACACAGAAATATACACTTTTTACACATCCTGATAATGAAGAAATGAAACCTCTGTTTTAGAATAATAAACTTATTTGTCTCATCATATTATAACAGAAGGAAAGTAGAACCAATTTTCAACAATTGTTGTATTGTTCATATTGATCATATTGTTGTATAGGCAGAAGCATTCTCCTATAATCATTGCTTATAAATATTTGTTGCTCTATTTTGTAATTTATGTTCTACCCCATAATCTATTCTTATTTTCGTTAGCCTAAGATAGAGACAAAATACCAACTGTATATATGCCAGAGCTTTAAAATCATTATGTACCTTTCTGGAGCCTTGTTATCCGAGAAGAGTTATTCTGTTCCTGTATTAGAGTAGCTACAAAATTAATTATATTATAAAAGTTAATATTGCTCTAAATAAATCATAATGATTTTAGTTTCTGAGTTTAAAATTTGGTTTATTGTTTAGGATTAGAGTAATCTAAAATAAAACTGATTTTACCAAGAAAAATTAATTAAGCAATAAAGAGTTGGTGGAAAAACATATTTCAAAAACCAAAAGGAACAGACGCTACCACCCCTTACAGTATTTATTTTAACTAACATTAAGAATTAATTTGTGTTTATCAGTAAGTTCTTTCAATCTATTAATAAATGTTTTTGAGTTATGAAATCAGAATATACAAATATGTACCCTCTATATTCTGTGTTATATATTTTTGACAGATTCAGAATTACCATTCCACATTTAGTCTAAATGCATATATTTTAATGATAGGCATATTCTATAATATTATGAAATGTTTAGAGGACTGACCATCATTAAAGTGAAAAGTTGCCTTACAGTTTTAAAAAAATGTACTTACAGGGAGTAACAACAATCATTGTTACCACAGTGGACATCAGAACAAGGCAGACAGTTCCGAGGATCCCAGCAATGAGCTTCTCTGGATGTGATGGTGAACCTGCAGGGAGGGAAATGGAACTACTGAGAAGGGAGTGATGGGGGCAATTGTTTAGAGAGCAGACATACACTAGAACCCAAGTAAACAGAGAGTTATGTACATCAGCTTGGACCCCAAACAATTTCTACCACTCTAGGCTTTCTCTCAGAATATACCATTTCATTTTCAGCAAATATAATACTGCATTAGTTGTTGATTAAAGACTACAAATTTCAGCAGTGCCAGAATGAAAGTAGTTCTCTGATTTCACATTAGATACCATACCCAATTTTAAGCTCTCTTCCTCAGATGAAAAATATGTGAGCTTATTCCCTACTCTTTCTCCACATCTTTGCACCCCAACCTCATATCCTAGAACAATTTCACCTAGTGACTGGTAATGTTTTACCTTTGGAGTGGTAGTTCTCCTCATTCCCTTGAAGATTCTGAGAAGCATTTTGAAGATTTAATTCTGCATATGTTAATTCCTGCTGAGCTATTGAAATGAGACCTTTAGAGCCCTTAGGTTTTATTCGCTGTCTCTCTGAGTTCTTGACTCCCTTCAGTTCTGTATAGATTACTCCTTGGTTATTCATCTCTGAAGCTGAGTGATGTCAAAGACTGTGTTCTAAGTGAACTGAGGAATGAGTGGTGTATATGAGACAAGAATCCTACTGCAATAACATGGGCGGGGCAAAGAGCTTAGTGTTCACTTTGCAGCTGAACAAACTTAAAGCCTGGTTCTAAATTCCTTGGAACTTCAAACAAGGATTTCATGATAGAACACTTTTTAAAAAAAAAAAGATACTTTATATTTGACAATATATTATTGTTTAAACAATGAAAAGCAATAAATTAGGGAATAATGAAGTTCATGACTAATAATAGCCTCATGAATTTAAGTCAGATTCCACAGAAATATTTTAACAGCATTACAGTGCTTGTATTAAAATGAAAATATTGTGTATTACAACAGAGAGATTCAACTATAATTTTGATTATTTGGAAATCCAACACTGGTTATAGACTAAGTACTTTAAAGATGAGGATAAAGTTGGCATTTCCTGCACTAAATTACAGTATATGGTGACTTACATTTATTTATTAAAAAGGGTACCAAATGCTCAATATTTTGAATGGTTGAGGAATTCTGAGAAAACTTTAAAATTTGAGGTACTACTTCATATGCTGAAAAATATTATGTGACAAACTAAACATAACCTAAACAATATTAAAAAAAAAGCAATAGAAAAAGACTAAAAAATATTTACTTTACAAATGTACTTGATAATTTAGTGGCTAAGGTCTGAATCCACAAAATGATGAACAAATATAGGTCATTCATGGAAGAACACTGTTGGTTCAAACTTCCAGAAAGATCTTATAGATGTCAAAGTTAGTAATGGTCATTTTATTTGTATAAGTGATGATAATTGCTTATAAAATCCAGAAAACATAGCTTAATAATTCAGTCAATGGATGCATTAGTCAGAAAGATCTGGAGATTAATTATGGATTTGAAACTTAAAGAAGTGTGTTCTTTAAAAGTTATTTAGTGTCTAGTAACCTATATTATTAATCTAACATGGAAATAATATGTAATATATAATGCATGTTACACTGAGCACTCAATCTGGTACCTATATGTTCTATAAATATTAGTTTTTAACTACTGTTTAAGTTACAATTTCTGTGTTACTATTTCTGATTCATATCAGTTAGAGCCTGGCAAGCAATTTATTAAATGAGAGTGTCTTTAATTAGTATAGTACATATTTTTTGAAATGTTTGTTCAATATTTTTAAAAATCCTTTCATTACTTACAGTGAAGTTTATATTAGCATTTAGGAAGCTACTTCATCTTGATTTTTATTAAAAATAAAACTGATTTTACTCAATCTAAGTGCATATAAACATTCATGTTTGGCCTTTTTATGCAATGAATTCTTTCCCAGGAATCTATTTATAGAAGTTGAGAGAAATACATATTAACATGTTATTATACAAGAAACCTACCTTCTACTGATTATAAAATCCCAAACTAATTGTTCTCTGTCAAGATGCCTGCAGATTTCACTTAAGATTATATACAAATCCAAATATACACTTGACTAGCATTCTACAGACACTAATTTGAATACTTGGAGAAATCTTCCATCATAGTTGATATTTTATGGTTGTTTTTTACCCTGAGTTATTTTTTTAAAAAAACTAATATACTTTGATTTTGTTGTATATTAACTATACCTCAGTTGTTTCACATAGAACATTTGCTAGTTCCCACTAAGTGAGATGGTCTAGTAGAGAGACAGGCGAGAAGGGACACATACCTTCTGTTGGCCAGAAAGTTGTGCATCCTTTAGTGGGGAGGTCAGATTACTCTCACAAAAGAGGCCTGCTATAGCTGGGTAATAAAAAGAGAAATTTAAAAACATAAATTCAGGACAAGCATTAACAATGTCTGTGACCTTTACATACTACCCTGTGAAGGCTCAGAGTGAAGTGAGAGTGGAAAAAGTTGATTTCTCATCAATGTGTCAGTTCAGGTTTGGACAGGAAATTCTCACATTTGGGCTACTCTCACATTTAGCTCACCACACACCTCCAGAAAATAGGAAAGTTTGGACTCCAGTTGAAAGGACAGATGGACCTCTAAGTGTGCTATTTATGTTTTCAATTTTCAAATGCTTCTGAGAAATTATTTCCATATTCTGCAAGATCTGAGGAGACTGAGGTTTAACCACCCATGCAGTTATCTTGCTTCCATCTCAATCATATATAGTGCAAACTTAGAATGCTTCAAGTTTTTCTTTTGAAACTAGATTGCTAAATCTTGGCAGTACTTATGCCTTTTCCTCACATCCATTATTACTTCATTTCCATTGTCATTAAAAAAGTTCTATGAATCATAATCCCATTTTCAATAAATATTTAAAGATATTTGTCCCAATTATTCTGAGAAATTACTGTTTTGCCAACCATAGTGTACCTGGCACCGAGTCCATTACTTTCAAAATGCCATCTCTCTTTCTCTGCCTTAGTTCTTACATTCAGCTTTAATCTTATCAAATAAATATTTTAGTGTATAAATTTCTTCTGATAAAAATAAATTCCCCTTGAAAGGATAAATGTAAACAATATGAAATGCATCATTATGACATAGGTTGAGATATTAAATAACTACTCATCATATCAGATAACTCATCACTTCCCAGCTACTCACCTTCAAACTTTATATTCTCATCTTCCCTTCTCTTTTTGTTATAATGAAAGAAGTACTTTTACTTTCTATCCACCCATTCCTACCTTTAGAGACTAAATGAGTCACTACAGGCATGTCCACTGTTGATCACCATCAGTTTGTTTTACTTTCCTAGTTTCTTCCCACTTCTGTTTTCTCCGTAGGATTCACTTTGTTAGTCCTTTACAACATGAAAAGTGTCAGTTCTTACCCCCAAACTGAACCATCTTCAAACTACTTGCAATCCAGCATTTTCCTGAGTGCTCAAACCAGAAACCTCGGATGAAATTGAGGCAGGGTCATAGAGGTTTGTGATGTGACTAAGATTGGAAGAAAACTATTGGCAATGTCAAGAGATGTCCAATATGCTGTCAGAGTAGGAAATGGAAACTCACTCCAGTATTCTTGCCTGGAGAATTCCATGGACAAAGGAGCCTGGTGGGCTACAGTCCATAGGGTCACAAAGAGTCAGACACAACTGAGTGACTAACACACACATCAAATCAGTTGTGAATTCATCCTACAATCTTCAATCATGCCTAGTTGTCTATATTTTAGTAGGAATATTTATATCACAATATAAACCCAAGTCAAACTTTAAAGCTTAAGAAAAGGTAATTTTTAAACATATCTAACAAAACAGTGGGAAGGGGAGGAAAAGAAGACATAAGCCACAAGATGAATGGCACATGCAAATGAAAATGAGAGGAAAGCAGGTATAACAGTACTCAGATCAGATAAAACAGTCTTTAAAGCAAATTTCATAATGAAAGACAAAGGACACTATGGGATGATAAAGAGATCAATATAAGAAAAGGATATTATACTTGTTAGCATATATCCACCCAATATATTTAGGAGGACCTAAATACATAAAACAAACACTAAAGACATAAAAATAATAATTGAAGGGAATACAATAATAGTAGGAGTTTTAAACACTGCACTGACACCACTGGACAGATCTTCTGGACATAAAATCAGTAAGGCAGCAGAGAATCTAAGTGACACAATAGAATTGATGAACTTAATTGATATCTACAGGACATTACATACAAAAAAACCCAGAATATCCTTTTAAGTGCACATGGAACATTCTCAAGGATAGACCACATACTAGGACATAAAATATGCCTTAAGAAATGTAAGGGGTAGAAATTATTTCACACATCTTTTCTGACCACAACTGTATGCAAATAGTAATAAAATAAAATGAGAAAAGAATGATTACATGGAAGCTAAAAACACAATACTAAAACCCAATGGGTCAGCAATGAAATGAAAGAGGAAAATCAGAAAATACCTAGAGACAAATGATGATGACAAGACAACCTTATAAAACCTATGGAATTGAGCAAAAGCAATTCTAAAATGGAAGGTCATAGGGATACAGGACTTTCTCAAAGAAGAAAATCTCAAATATACAACCTAACCTACTATTTTAAAAAATTAGAAAAAGAGGAACAAACAGACCCAAAAGTCATCAGAAGGAAGGAAATAATAAGGATCAGAGAGGAAATAAAACAATAAGAGGTTAAGAGATTAAAAACAATAGAGGAAATAAAAGAAAGATAAATTTTTTTTAAGAATGTAAAGAAAATCAAGCCAAGTTCACCAAGAAGAAAAGAGAGCTTGAATTTTTTTAAAAAGTTAAAAAATAAAAATGAAAAATAACAACCAATACCAGAGAAATTTTTGAAAAATAAGAAAATACTATGAATCCTTATGTCAACAAACTGGACAACCTAGAAGAAATGAACAAGTTTCTAGAAATGTACAACCTTCCAAAGTGAGTCAAGAGAAAAAGATAATTTGAACAGAATGATCACTGGAAGTGAAATAGAATCTGTCATCTTAGAAAACTCCTATAAGCAAAAGTTCAGGTCTGGATGGCTTCACTGGGAAATTTTACCAAATATACAAAGAAAAAAATTTATATTAGTTCTTCTTGCACTATTCTCAAAGACTGAAAAGAAAGGAACACTCCTAAAGACATTCTAAGAAGCTACCAACATCCTGATATCAAATCAGGCAAAGATACTACAAAAAAAAAAAAAAAAGAAAAGAAAGAAAGAAAGAAAAGAAAGAGAAAATTATTAAAGGCCAATATCCCTGATTAATGTAAATGGAAAATTCCTCACAAAATATTAGAAAAATCAATGCAGCAGTAAGTAAAGAGATCATTTTCTATGATCAAATTAAATTCATTCCAGGGTCCCAAGAATGGTTCATCATATACAAATCAATTAACATGATACTCCACAATAAAAAAAGAAAAGACAGCAAACACTGATCATCTCAATAGATGAAGAAAAAGTCTTTGATAAAATTCAGCATCCATTCATGATAAAAACTTTCACCAAAGTGGCAAGGGGGGAACATGTCTCAGCATAAACTTTTTATGTCAAATCCACAGTCAATATAATGCTCAACAATGAAAAGCTGAAAACCATTCAGTTAAAATCTAGGACAAGGGTGCCCATTCTCACCAATTCTATTCAATATAGTATTCAAAGTACTGCCGATAGCAGTCAGACAGGAAAAGAAAATAAATGGTATCTAAATTCGGAGCTTAGCAGGTGGTGCACAAGACATAAGAAGCAATTTTGCTTCTTGGGTTGGGAAGATCCCCTGGAAACAGCATGGCAAGTCACTTCCTAGGCAGGTTGATAAGAAGTCTAGGGGTCCCCAAGGAGAGAGGGGTCTGGAATTCTCAAAGAGGAAGAAAGGGCAAACTTTATTCCCCTCTACATTCCTTCAGTTCGGTTCAGTCACTCAGTCATGTCCGACTGTTTGCGACCCCATGAATCGCAGCACGCCAGGCCTCCCTGTCCATCACCAACTCTTGGAGTTTACTCAAACTCATGCCCATCGAGTCGGTGATGCCATCCAGCCATCTCATCCTCTGTCGTCCCCTTCTCCTCCTGCCACCAATGCCTCCCAGCATCAGGGTCTTTTCCAATGAGTCAACTCTTCAGATGAGGTGGCCAAAGTACTGGAGTTTCAGCTTCAGCATCAGTCCTTCCAATGAACACCCAGGACTGATCTCCTTTAGGATGGACTGGATGGATCTCCTTGCAGTCCAAGGGACTCTCAAGAGTCTTCTCCAACACCACACTTCAAAAGCATCAATTTTTTGATGCTCAGATTTCTCCACAGTCCAACTCTCACATCCATACATGACCACAGGAAAAACCACAGCCTTGACGAGACGGACCTTTGTTGGCAAAGTGATGTCTCTGCTTTTTAATATGCTATCTAGGTTGTTCATAACTTTCCTTCCAAGGAGTAAGCGTCTTTTAATTTCATGGCTACAGTCATCATCTGCAGTGACTTTGGAGCCCCCCAAAATAAAGTCTGACACTGTTTCCACTGTTTCCCCATCTATTTCCCATGAGGTGATGGGACCAGATGCCATGATCTTAGTTTTCTGAATGTTAAGCTTTAAGCCGACTTTTTCACTCTCCTCTTTCACTTTCATCAAGAGGCTCTTTAGTTCCTCTTGACTTTCTGCCATAAGGGTGGTGTCATCTGCATATCTGAGGTTATTGATATTTGTCCCAGCAATGTTAATTACAGCTTGTGCTTCATCCAGCCCAGCATTTCTCATGATGTACTCTGCATATAAGTTAAATAAGCAGGGTGACAATATACAGCCTTGACATACTCCTTTTCCTATTTGGAACCAGTCTGTTGTTCCATGTCCAGTTCTAACTGTTGCTTCCTGACCTGCATACAGGTTTCTCAACAGGCAGGTCAGGTGGTCTGGTATTCCCATCTCTTTAAGAATTTTCCACAGTTTATTGTGATCCACACAGTCAAAGGCTTTGGTGTAGTCAATAAAGCAGAAATAGATGTTTTTCTGGAACTCTTGCTTTTTTGATGATCCAGCAGATATTGGCAATTTGATCTCTGGTTCTTCTGCCTTTTCTAAAATCAGCTTGAACATCTGGAAGTTCACAGTTCATGTATTGCTGAAGCCTGGCTTGGAGAATTTTGAGCATTCCTTTGCTAGTGTCTGAGATGAGTGCAATTGTACAGTAGTTTGAGCATTCTTTAGGATTGCTTTTCTTAGGGATTGGAATGAAAGCTGACCTTTTCCAGTCCTGTGGCCACTGCTGAGTTTCCCAAATTTTCTGGCATATTTGTGCAGCAAATATGAA